TTCCTTTCAAGCTGCTTTATAAATATCTTGTTTTATTGCATTTCACAGACCACACTGTCTTGACTTCAATAAATGAAATCTGAGAAAATTGCAAAGTTATCCTCAAAACCTTCTCTTGTTCTTGTTGAAGTTTTTTTCTTAAGTTTTATTTCTGGATGGCATTATATATATATATATATATATATATATATATATATATATATATATATATATATATGTATATATATATATATATATAGTTGCACTAGATGGCATTAGCAGCTTTTGACACAGTTATATAGGAAAAAAATGTTAATCTGCCAAATCTGTATTGGTGATATTCAACAGCCGCCTCACATATGCTTGCAGGAACCCACTCACTTCTGCTTTATGGTCCTAAAAGAAATGTAGTCTACATGGCAGACTGAATAAGACCACCAAGCCTCAAACAAACCCAATACACTTCCACTATCAAACCATTCCTTAAGGGCAGTTTTCTTGGTGGCCAATTATTTTTGATATAAAAGTCTGGAACTAGCAGCACAAAAACTGTATTAAACCTCTGCAGTAGGGCTGGATAATAATTTAATTTCAATTTGTATGACAACAGAATGTTACTCAATAAAAAAGGATTTTATTTAATAATGTTCTATTGCAATATATAAATGTTATGTCATTTTAATAAACACTATAGTTACAGAAAGAGCTTCTGCACATTGGCTACATGATTGATGACGTACACAACAGACAGGAATTGTGTGTTCTGCAGTTGTATATTGTGTTCCAATACAGTAACTATTTTCTACAAAACGAGCACCCATGATTACTTCACCAAACGTCGGGCTTTGAGTTACCTCTAGCTGACAAAAGCCAGGTCCCTGAAAATGTCACCGACTTAAGCGTCTGGTAAATGAGGAAAAGATTGCTGTGAGCAGACAGTGTACAAATCATTTTGCTTGTAAAGGATCAGCTGGTCACGCAGCTTAAAGCCACTGTCAGGGTAGAAAAGATGAGCAAAGAGGTTAAAAAAGAAGCCAGCATGAGTTTGTCACCACAGACAAGAAACCTTTCTGTGACATTATTGGATGTGTGAATTGATTCATTTTATTTTGACTGAACTGATTCTAGCTGAGATAAAGGTTTGGCTCAAAAATTAATAGTAACATTGTCCAGGTAAAAAAAAGAAGGAAAAAAAATTAGGATAGAAAATAGAGAATCTGTTTTGTGTTTACGAAAGATTGGAAGTGCAAACTAAATCAGGCTTTCATTAGAAAAAAAGGGCACCATAAATCAAGACTAAAGTATGGTTTAGAGTAGGGTATGACAGAGAAAGGGGGAGCAATCTTCCCCAAATGATTTTTGAGAATTAATTAGGAAGCTTTAGATTTTTCAATGCTAGTTATGAGCTGTTTTGTTACTTTATTATAACTAATTGTGAGTCTTTTTCCACATTTGAAGTGAATCACAAAGAAAGAAGAAACTGAAAAAGACAAGAAGCCTTAGACTGAGGAATGTGAGGAAGGAGAGAAAATCACCTGTTAAAACTTGAATCTCATCTGATAAGTTATCCAAAAAACAAAGAGAAAAAAATATTTTTTTCACTGGACTTTGCACAGTAATGTTGAGAATTTTGTTCAGCTTACGGTCATGGGATTCCTTGGAAGTTTTTCTGAGGCTTTGAAATTATTTATATCTGAATAATTTTGTATTGACTGAAATACAGAAATAGCATGTGATATAACTTTTGGTCATCTAATCCAGCCATGCTCTGCAGATGTTTGGGATTTTCCACAAAAAAAAACCCAGAAAGTGTATATTAAAATGAGTTCATGCAGCGTTGGGCTTCAATCAAAATTAATAATCAAAGTGAATACTAACAAGCATCTTCTTGTTACTCCTACACTAGATTCTTCCTCAGCCTTTTCATCACTTGTTGTGTCCCACCTTTCTGGAAATCACCCCCCCAACTTCTTAGTATCAGCCATATCCAACTTCAAAAGCAAACCCAAAACAAAATATTATTGTTTTCTCAATACTTTAGTTAAGAGTATATTTTTTGTTGCTTTCGATCACATCTACCTTCTATTTATGTGTGTCTGTATTCAATACAGTCTTACTTCTAACTCATCAAATATTGACAATTTCAAGATTTCTAATAAAAGTTTTTTTCCAGAGCCGCAAAACAAATCAAACTGAAGTCTTCATTACAACATAACTGTTAACAATGTCTATAGAGTCAACTGCAAAATATAAATATTTCATAAAACAACACTGAGATGCTTTCCTGTTGTATGAGCTACTTTGATCAGTTTTATTCTCTTGCATCATATTTTATTACATTAAGTCTCATAGTCTAACTCTCCTAACTGTTGACTCCTTGAAATCAAAACTGATGCCAGTTTTGCTTGCAGTGGTGTTTGGGCAAAGACTTATGCTTCAAAAATATTTCCCTGTTTGAAGTACTGTAGCAGTTCAAAGATAAGATTGGTATTTTTATAAAATTTAAAATCAAGTTTGGCTCTGAAATCTGTATTTGTTTCTCTGATTCACGGTTATGAAGAGTTTGAAAGCTCGATTTTGACAAACTCCTAAAGGTCTTTTGCTAAATTTTTTATTGATGGAGGCCTTACTTGTGGAGTTCAACAATGCTCTCGAATTTAAAAACAGTCACATTTTCTCTAGACCTAAATCCATAAGCAGTGTGGGATCTCTGTATTATAGTGTTGACAAGTGTAACACACTGCACTGTAAAGATGTTGTCAGTTACGTTTAACAGCTCAAGTTGCTTAGTTGGGATTATTGTGTCACAGTTAGTTGATTTCTGGCCTTGATTGGGAAATGTCTATATTGAAGAGGCTTCATGTGACCCCAATACCATCAGGAGTGGACTAGGCACAGGGAGCAAAGAAATATTACCTAAAAGGCTTGATTCTGTTCCAGCTTGGTTCTTTAAAATAAACAATTTTGTTTGTACAGCTTGGTTCTCTGGTTCCAATTAAGCTCCAATCCTAAAGAGAGATGCTTCTTGTCCCTTCCAGAAAGCTTTCTCAATTAAAAGGTCATTTGAATTGAGAAAGCTTCCAAGAGGGGAGGCGAAACGTCTTCAAATCTTGGAAACCAAGTCCAGTGGATTGTTTTTTAAACTTTTACGGAATGGAAATAGGTGGACAATTTCCTCTAAAAAAGGGGCTCTATGAGAGAATGCTTTTTATGGGGGATTTTTCTTTTCCCTGGTGAATTCTTTTCAAACTAGAAGCTTTTGGGCAAGCCCTTTCTGAGAACTTCATTTTTGTTTTGAGGGGTGGGGTTGGGGGGTATTTCTTCAAAAAAATATAGCTACAGTTTCCAGTCATTTCATTTCAAAACCACTGAATACCGAATACACAGGCTTGAATAAACATGGGCCATAAAAACTGTCTGTAAAGGACAATAAAAACATTAGCAACAGTAACTCAGTAGTCCTTTTTTTCTTCCCACAATGTTAAGGGAATTATTTTCCCCAGGGCTTGGCATCAGTTTATTGGGATTTGCAGACAATTGTTAATGTAGCGTTCTTTAAAGGGCCTGATAAATGCAATATCCATACATGCAAGATTATTCTTACTAGTACAGCATTCATTATATTATTATTTCAGCTGAGTAACACACTCCACTCAGAAAGTTTTTAATGCCCCTTAAGAGGCATTAATAGTCAAACTGATAAGAGATCTCTTAGTGGAATATCAGTGATTGTTACTTATTCTATTTGCCCCTAAGTAATTAAATCACTTGGAAAACAGCACTCTTCACTGCATTTTATCAAAACAGGTTTTTCTTCCTCTGCTGTGTGTTTGGCGCCTCCCTCTGACTGACAATATCATTTTTCCTCACTTCAGCAAAGGTTGGCATTTACAAAGGAGTCAAAACAATGACTGCAAGTTCAATGGCTCCACTCTAGTCCAAATTATCACTCCTCCACCACCATGCTTAACACATGCGCTGTATGTTTTTCTAAATATTTTGCTTTTCATTATGGGCAAACATTTTTACCTTAGCCATCCAAACAAAACCATTGCACAAGGCTATTTGTTTCTACCTAAATCTGCCTATTTTAAAAGAGAACGGTCTTCCTATTTCAAAACCGCCAAACAAACCACACTGTTTCAATTTTATTTCAAGAGTTTTATATGAGTATCTTGTTGTTTTGTTGTTGTTGTTGTTGTTTTTTTTGTGACCTTTTGGGGGCCACTGTAAGGCCAATTTTTGTTAAATGTGCAACATTTAGGGGACTTACAGACACTTGTGGGAACCCCTTAACTGGTCCCCATGAAGAAAACTTCTCTTCTTTATTTGAGGTTAGGTTTGGGTCTAAGGTTTTAGTTTGCTAAGTTTTATTTAGGTATACGTTGGTAATGATGGATTTTGGTAAAGCCCTGGTTTAGGCCATACAAATGAATAGAAGTCAATAAAAACCCCAAAAAGAAATGGAACACACTATGGCTGTGTGGTCTTGTTTTTACTACAATATGGGGGAAGTTTTTTATAAAATATCCTACATGCAGGAACTTACAGGTACATATGTGGACATTCAACTGGTCCCCATATGGTAAAGTTATGTTATTTAAGTTGGGGTGAGGTTTAGGACTAAGGTGTTAATTCAGTTTAGGTATATGTTGGTAATAGTTAGGGTAAGGGTCTGGGTTATGCCATGTAAAATGAATGCAAGGAGATTAAATGTCTCATATGTCATGAAAACTAAGCAGTGTGTGGCTGTGTATATGTGTTTGGATTCTACAATTAAGTCTGAGTTTTGGGGTAAACATCATGTCAGAGCGTCCTTGGGAAAGATGCTGTGCACACACTGCCCTCTAAATCTGTCCTCGGAGTCTAAATTATTTCCTGCATCTGTTTCCGAAAAATAAATTGCTAGCATTCATTATTTGGCAACAAAAATCTATTGATTTCCTTCCATGTGGGGAAATAACACACACTGGCATTCAGCAGGCATTGTCAGGTTAGAGGGAAAAAGAGAAGAGCATATTTCCTCATTTTGGCCTCCAACTACCTGTGGCCTTTAGGTTTGATTTTAAGGTTTTGCGGGTTGTTTTGTAAGACGCAACATGCCTGAGGCTTAGAGGCAGCGGGTAATTTGATGTCAGAGTTTAAGAGATCTTTAATAATCACTGGAATGAATCGGAAGAGATATAACCAACTAAGTATATTTCAGAGAAATTCAGTTTGTGTTACAGTAGCACTTTGAGTAAGATCTTGTGACTCTTTTAGAGTTTTTGGAATATTCATTTCAGTTTTGAAACTGCTTAATGTCTTTGTGACTGTTCACACTTCCTTGTAGTTGTTGTTTTAACAGCTATCCTCTCACAAATCACCAAGATCCGAAAAAATTTATTATCCCGAAATAAAGTGATTGATATAGGGGAGTGAAAGAAAAAATAAATTAAAGATAAAAGTATATCAGCCTTCAAGATGCAAAAAGACATTGCCGTTTAAGTCTGACCACACCTGCTAAGAGGAAAAGCTCTGAAGTTCAGATGACTAAATAATAAAAAAAAGACTACGGTATTTTAACAAGAAAAAAAGAATATTTGGCTTCAGAGGAGCAGGGAAAATATTCATGAGTTCCCTTTGCATCTGTCTATCTGCAGAATACCCAACATTAATGGAGCCACAGGGGAGATTATTCATTATTTTTCTTAAATGTGTGTGTAAAAAAAAAAAAACATCTTGATTTTTATACAAATCAATTAAAACAGGAATAATCAAACGCATCATAAATACCACAAGTTCGATATTATCAAGGTCTAAGACTTAACATTTTTATTAGATGTCCTGATCCCATGAGAAACAGCTCCGGAGATACAGTGAGACACCAAAAGAGGAAATAGTGATTCTAAATCAGAGCCAAGCTGACACACACACACACACACACACACACACACACACACACACACACACACACACACACACACACACACACACACACACACACGCACGCAATGGCAACAGGTGCTTTAGGGTAGTCCATAAATTAACAAATAATTGAGAAAAAAAATGTATCCTCTGTTTAAATGAAATATCTCAGCTTTACAAAAAAAAAACGCTCAGATTTGCAATGCCTCCCTCTATTGTTTCTCGCAATGTGAAAACAAAAAAAATTAGGTGATTAATGGAAATACTGAAAAATTAAAACGTTTCCTATTAACGTCTCCTCTGGAATTTTAATAATTTATTTCCTGAAAGTGTTTCCAAAATATTTTTATTTTTTATTATCTACCAGGGAAGTTAACCTTAGAGAAATAATAATCATCATGCATAAAGTAATCAGATTAGTAAATGACAATCAGTCGCCTCTGCTCACCTGGTCCCAAAGCGCCAGCTGCAGGAGCAGAGCCAGGTGAAGGAAACTCTTCATCCTTTTCCAACTGCAGGAATCAGCAAACTGACCCGGGGGATTATGAACCCCCCGAAAAGAATCCTAAAAAAAAAAAAATAAAGCGGAAAAAACTGTCCAAGTACTTACATAAGTCTGCAAGAATTGACTAAATCTATGTTTCACTATTAAATGTTGGAGGTGAGCGGCTCCCTGGAAGGTGTGTGGGGTGATATGAGGATGTCCGCATGACGCGAGGTGCAGAACCGCAATTTGCTGAGCGACTCTCCGCACCTCTCCTTCTCAGAGGCGGAGACAGAGGAGGAGGAGGAGGAGGAGGAGGAGGAGGAAGAGGAGGAGGTGGGGATACAGGACCACAGCTGCTGGGGTTACAGGCTGAATCCTGTAAAACACTTACTATTAAGCATCATTCGGCTTTCAAAGTGCTATTTATCGTCTGATTCTTTAGAAGTGATCAAAACCATTTTTGTTCTTTGGACTGTTTATACATTTTCACTTATTTCCAGTCTTGTATGTTGAGTTTAAATAGCTTAAAACTGACCAATGGGTTCTTCTAGACCAGAGGTCCAGGGGCGGAGCTAGATGGGGGGCTAGGGGAACACCGTTTTTTTTTTTTTTTATATTGGCCCTTGATTTTACGTTATTACATCATGTTCTACTCACCCATAAAAATTTTTTGTCATTTGAAGCCGTTCTGAAGATATTCCCTTGTAGCCTGACGTAGTCCGACTCAATTCTAGTCAGAATATGAGTCTGATACTGCTCCATAGAGCTGTGATTATGGGGCGTGTTTCGAAC